CATAAGTTTGCCTTTTGAAAATAGGTAGTCTTATCCACAGGCTAGTGGAAACATGCCCATAGCCAAGCTTCCACAACAACTCCAGTATCTGGTTATTTACTTACGAAATCTATGCCTACCTTCTGAAAATAATTCAGTGGTTTAACTCTGAAATTATTTAGTAATGAGAATGTGCAGTCAGTGTTGGTACTACAGTGACAGACACAGAATAGGTCTCTCTGTGTTCAATTCAATGGGAGGTATAAAACTTATTTCATAATATTTTTGTGCTTCTTTTCCAGAGGAATTCCCAACTATGACTTCAAGATCGGTAGAATCACATTCATTAGGAATTCACGTCCACTGGTTAAGAAAGTGGAAGAGGTAAATGAAGTTGAATCCTCTCCAGTTTTGCACAGAATTAGAGCATTATAGTTATACTTAAAATTTGTGGCCCCTCTCTCCCCCCACTTGTTTTTTTACAGTATGCTTCTGTTAAAAAGTGGTAGTAGGTTTAAAATGGTTTGAGTTCCATGAAATAACCTCTGGTGTACTTGTTACTACTAATGGAAAAATGGCCTGGTGTCAGTTCAGTAAGATAGTGCACAGTCCTTTCACTTGCTGAAAGGTCACCAAAGTGCTGCTCTTTTATTTTRAGGAAGAAAGTGGTTTTATCTAGATTAAGGATGTAAATATCTACAGTCAGTGGCTGCTCTGGTGAAATGTTCTTGCTAACAGTCATTCAGCTTCCATCACACACAAGCAGTGAGCAAAGAGGTAACAACTTTTTATCCCCCTCTTTCGTTTTTTTCAGGATGAATCTGGAAGCCGGTTTATTGCCTTTTCAGGAGAAGGCCAGTCCCTGCGCAAGAAAGGAAGAAAGCCCTAAGTTATGTACCCTCAGCTAGTTAGGGGGAAAATAAAATAACAGTTGCAGCATATTGGATCTTAGTTATTGCACTTGAGAGATCATTTTGCAACACAGGAACACTTAATAGTTTTGGTTTTGGTTTCATGWTTAGAGTTGGAGTTGTCAGAGTGTCTTAATTTTCASTTGAAAATTAAGTTCTGGGAATTTGGAAGGAGCTTTTTGTATGTGTTGTAAAGAGGGGAACATAGATCTCTGATGAACCTGAGAAGTAAAACTAACAAGAGTCCCTTACTAAAGATCCGGTTCTTAGACTACATCCTCCCCTTATCTTCCGAGTGATGATGGTCTCATGTTGCTCTGTGCTTGTTWTTTTTCTCCCTGTATATGTATTTTGCCACAATTTCAGGTCAGCTTTTTGGTGTGGTGCAAATGAAGGGTGACTTTGTTGTTTAGGACCTTTGTGCAGGGAGTCTCTTCGAGCTTAGCTTCAGGTATTGGGTTATTTAATCATYCTAAGCAAGCCCCCTGTAATTGCTTTTTATATTTATAATTAATAACATGCCTTTTAATAGTTCAGATACTATAACGTAGTGTAGCAATCTCAGGCACGAGTCGGGAGAGGAGAGACCCAGTTGCACTGCCCTGGTGCCGCTTTGGAATGATGCGGGTTGAATCCTGTGCGTCCTCTGCCGGCGAGCAACCCCTGCGCTCTTCGAGTAAAGGTTCTTCSTAACCAGCTGCGTCCGTGTGTGGTGATTTCGGAGGAGTGGGGTGTGCCGGGGCACTCAGCGGCTCCTCGGGGGTCTCCCCGCTCCTCCTCCAGCCGCGCCCGGCGATCAGAGAGGCTGTGCGCCGCCGTGCTCACGTGCCGGTGTGCGCGCAGCCATTGGCTGGCAGGCCCGGGGCCGCTTTGTGCCGCCCCTCGCCATTGGCCGCGCCCGCGGGTGCCGCCGTAAGCGCGGCGGCCATTGGTGGCGGCGCAGCATGGCGGGCGCGGGCGGCTCCTGGCGGGTGAGCGGGCGCGGTGCCGGAGGGCGGCGGGACCGGGACCGGGACCGGGACCGGGGYKGGGGTTGGGGGAGCGGCGCGGCTCAGCTCAGCCCGGCCGTGTCTGTCCGCAGCCGCCGCGGTCGTGCGAGGACTACTGGGGGGAGTGGAAGCATTGCCGCGGGCTGCGGCACGCCTTCCACCACTACTACGCGCACGGGGAGCTGCCGGCCTGCGACCGCTGGCGAGAAGACTACGAGGCCTGCCGCGCATGGGAGAGGGACCGAGCCGCCGCCGCGCAGGTACCGGGCCCGGAGCTGGCTCACCGGGGCTCTAGCGGGGCTGCTGAGATAGAAACCCCGCAGCATTGGGGGTTGGGGAGGGGCTGGAAAAGAGGGCGCTGGCTCGGGGCAGAGGTGGATAGGATTGTCTTAAAATCCAGTTAAGGATCCAGGGAGTGTTCTCCGTGCTCAGCTGTAAAAGCTCTTGATTTCTATTACTCTGACATTT